CCACCAAAGAATGCAAACTCAAACTACCTAGGTATGGTGGCTTTTTAAGCTCACTCAAAACCACCAAATGATACCTTCTGTTATCACCCATGTCACCCTAAAGGAACCTACTCTGAATGACTTCCATTTTTTTAACCATATCTTCCGTAATAGTCATCATGGACATGTAATAAACAAGTAAATTGCTCGATGTGTTCTTTATGAGTGTAAGTCTACCTCATTTAGATAAAAGAGCTTTTTTCCATCTCCTCAACCTTTTCTCAAATCTATTCATCACTGGTTCCCACATCATTGCCTCTTTGAAATTAACACCAAGAGGTAATTCCAAATATGTGATAGGCATGCTAACAAATCTACACCCTAAAGCCATCATCAATCCCGGTGGATCCACTTCCCACCCCAATTTTACTACTTTTGAATTAATAATATTGATGTCAAACCCTAAAACTGCTTAAAAATCCATCAAGATACATATAATATTCAACAAAGCTCTTATCTCAGGTTCATAAAAAAGTATAGTATCATTAGCGAAAAACAAGTGAGTTATCTCTTCAACTTAATCTATCAACTCCACTCTTAAGCCATTAAATAAACCCATGTTGAACCCATTTGGACTAGGTGCCTTATCTCTTCTATTTGACATGAGACCATAAAAATCTCATCTTCTAAAAAGTCCCTCTTCAACTCTAATCTATTAGTTTCATCTAAGATCCTAAATTCATTCATATCCAGTTTTGGTGTCCACCTCATCTCTTCTTCATATAGTCTATAAAAATAACCCCTAGCCTCCCACCTTAACTGCTTATTATCCATCACAATTCTATTCTTAATCTCTATCAACTTCATATAGTTATTTCTTCTGTGATGACTTATCATATTATGAAAAAACTTGGAGCTAGAGTCCCTCTCCTTAATCCACTAATCTCTCGACTTCTGTCTTTAAGAAGTATTCTCCATTTGTAACCTAAAAGCAATTTCAACTTTTAAATACTCTTTCCTAACCATGTCTTCAATCGTCGGAAGCCCTTCCCCTTCTTTTTCATCAATTCCCTCAACGTCCTCCGACAAAGACTTGATCTCACTCTCATATTTGATCATCTCTTTTTTGCACCACTTCTTGATTTATTTTTTGAAAAATTTTAATCTCTGCATAACTTTGAAGATTGTCTTTCCCACTGGGTTTGTTGTTGCCCACCACTCCCTAACCTTATCCCAAAACTCATCAATTTTCAACCACTTATCATAAAATCTAAATGGGCACGGACCTCATATGATACCATCAATCGTGAAACAAATGGGAAGATAATCAAATGATTATTTGTAGAGATACTTCTTGCACATTTCCAACATGCAATTGACATCAATTCTTGAACACACCAATTTGATTCTTTAATTAATTAAGCTTAAGTCCACCTGTCCCATGACAAGTGTAAGTCCAACAACTCAAAGGTGATCCAAAGTTTCCCTAAATTCATCAACTCAGCCATCTCTCACCTTTATATAACACCATATTAAAATCGCCTCCAATCACCCATGGCCATTGCTCAACTACTTTTACATGCTGCCAAAATCATTCAACAAAATACTCACCACTCCCTTCACCTCTATTATACACCTTTGTAAATACCCACACTTTATGCATATGGATGTATATAAATAACCAAAAAATTATTATATTCTTCAATAAATAAATAAGCTGACCAATCACATAAATATAGTTAATATATTTTAATTTTTTTAATAATTTTGTTTAAAAATGAACCAATAATATTTATATATATAGATAGACTCAGAATTCCCAAACATAAGATGGAATCACATGAAGAAGCAGAATGAACTATTACAACATGTTCACAAAACCGAATAACATCATCAAATACATGTCTCATTGATGGTCATATCAAAATGGTACAAATTTTCTTCTTTCCATTCTTTTTCTCTTTTTTTCTTTTCTGGGGCCATCACACCCTTTAATCCTATTTCATGTTCACTATATTCAATCCTGGTTCCTAAGCCTCACTGTCAAAACCTAATAGAGGGAAAGGCATGCCTGTATTTGACATCCGCAATTCTGATGAACGGAACAACAGAAAAAATTTATACCTCAAAAAACTGAAAGCAATCTACTTGCTTTCTTCCTCCGATTCTGACTCGTCGTCACTATTAATTTTAGTTGGGGTACTCCTGTTTTGGTTTGCTCTACTCTGCAAAAGGAACACATTGTAATAGTAGCTTACCAAGTCTTCCTTTTTCTTACTAGAAAAAAACTTGAGTATCCGTTCCCAAAAACACTTATCAAGACTCGGAAGTTCCACCAAAGTTTTAAACTTCTTCTGTTCCCCGTCCGTCCAAAAACGGGCTACTTCTTCACCCATCTTGTCAATTTTCCAATGGTAAAAAGCCAAACCTAATTCAACCTTCATTTTCTTCCTTTTTTCAGCAATGTGAAACCTGACACATTCAATAGAAGCTGGGTGTTGGCAGCCACATGAATCTTGTCTTCCTTTCCCAATAGGATCCCTTTCAATCAGGACTCTGTTATTGGTTTTTACCAGCGGCCAAATCCGAGTACCCAACCACTTCAAATCACTTTCACAGGGTACGCCAGTCCATTCTGGCACATCTGCTTGAAAAGCTGGTCCCAAAGGAACTATCTTATCATTCTCGTAGTCAAAGACTGAACCTTTAGCTGAGGAATCAGGGGATCTGTTGTTTTCCTTTCTGGCCAGGAAATGGCCCGACCTCTTCTTCAATTCAATTTGAGAGCCGAGAGAGAATGATGCTTTAGATGTCAATTTTCCTGTAAGGGTAGTCCTGGTGGCACTTAACCTTTCTCTGAGTTTGTAACTGGATCCAATCTGATCATCATATAGGCATGGATGCATCCTCTGATTCTTCTACAAAGAATGGAAGTAAATGATTATACAGGATTTAGTAAAGGAAAATTGTTAACCCGGTGCAATAAGAAGTATCTAACTACATGATGACATCCACAAGTTATAGGCAAAACAGTATATATATGCAGAGACAAAGATGGAAAACTATGCTGACAGAAAAAATGACACAAGTTATATAAAGTAGAACATGATAAACAGTAAGCAATATTCTCTTCAAATTCACTTAGTACGTATCATAATTCACTTGTGGTTTTATGCACAGTTGATTTCAGGAAGGCAACACCAGCCACATCCTAAACAATGCAGGATAATAATAATAAAATATTTACAGTATATTGTGAAATCATCCTATAATTAGAAACGAAAAATTATAGTGGCAATAACAATCATTAAATTGTTTCAAAATTCAAACATTAGGATGGGGGTTGAAAAACATATTTAAATATGTATATGTATAGCTCCAGCGTAAGAAAAATCTGAGGGTGCATTATGGCACAAAACTCCAAAACCAGATAATGCTATCAATATCCAATTCCACTACTGTGTCAATAGTCACTACACGTCATTTTATTCAGGTTTTCACAACTATGATGTAGACTTTCAAAAAAAAAAAAAAAGCGAAGCAGAAACCCACTGCAAACGTGAATTGCTTTAAACTCATGGAACTTAAAATAGTAAATGACAAAGTTATTTTTTTAGCAAGATTTACATTTAGTAAAAAAAAAGGGAGAGCTACTGGTGTATGAAAAAGCACCCATAACATCTGCTAAAAAAAAATGAAGAATAAAAATTTGTCTAGTAATTTTCTGGAATTTAATCCTCTCTTGTTGATCATTCAACTGCAAAATCCATTTCGCAGCTGGATTATACCACTTTAAAATCTAATAGAAAAGTCCATACTTATCACGTTGACAGTTTCAGAAAGACTTTAGTTAAAGCCTAAGATTTGAATAGCTATATTATTTCCTGTGGTAACATAAAAGAGCATTAGATTTTAAAGAATAATGATTCAACTGTGAAGATGATTTACTAGTTATATGATCAACTGGAGAGGATTAAAAATCCATTATGTCAATGTGTGAAGAGATACATGAAGCAAATGCAGCAAAAATAATATGTCGATAGCCCAAAACTGAGCCGGATGAAAACATGTCGTACATGGACAAACACATGTACTTGCAACCAAATAAAAACACAACGAATTCAACCAGGTTAGCAATTATGAAAAAGCACATAGTTGAAGATTATGTTCATAAGATCAATAACATTTTCAGTCTCTCCCAGAGCTAACTTAATCTCATTTTTATAAAGATGGATGCGAACTTAATCTCATTTTTATAAAGTGAGGGTGAACTAAAAAATAGAAAAAACTCATAAAGACTGAATAAATTAAAACCAAGAAAGAAATAGACATAACACATGAATTTTCTGTGACTTGGGCCAGTAGTAAAAGCAACCAACAAATATATACCAAGAAAAATGACAAGTAGACAAGTGTATTGAAATTATATCCACATGAATCCATGTCGAGAAGGACAGAAATATAAGCAGCCTTAACAACAAACTTCACCATGCCGAGGTTGTGAACTCGAGGCAGTAAAGGAAGATTTTCACTGACTTCTTTCACTGCTATATTGCTAAGGTATATAAAACAGCTAAACAACCAACTTAGTGAACTACAACCACTTGATGGAATACCTTTTGATGGAAAACTAGCACATGCTTATAACCAACTTCCCCCACAAACAGTATGACAATATTTTGCATGAAACACTTTACCTGCCAAGCAGTTCTTTCAGCACTTGAATCATCAAATCGTTTCAGAAATACATACTCCCGGAATAATAGAACCTGCTTCCAGAGTTCATCTTTCCCATATGAATTCCACTTTGATATTTCTGGCAAAGAAGCAAACACAGGATTACACGGATCCTTTGCCACCTTAGTAACCCACTTTAACATTTCACAGTCAGTGTTCCTCTTCCTCTTTCGAGGAGTAACTTGTTCTTCAGTAACATTGTTAACATCCTTAACACCTGTGCATTTCTCACCACAAGCAGTCCCCTCCACTACATTGTTTCCCTCATTTTTTTCAACATCCAATGTATTTGGCTCTCTTTTTGTCGTCAAACATGAATGCAGATTGACTAACGCATCAATGGACTTCTTTTCCGGGCTGAAACCAGCAGCGGTAGTCCTTACCTCGTCTTCATCAGCAAGCGGAGGTTCTTCATCTGACTCTGTTCTGCTCCTGTTTCTATCGTCCGAAAAGTTCAGCTTGCAGATCGATTCACGACGTGGGTAATTATCATCTTTCTTTTTAAGTTCCGGTAAAAACTCTTTCAACTCTGCCTCCAACTCCATCAACTTCCTTACCAGACTCTGACTATCCCCACTAAGTTTCTTTGAGTTCTTCTCGTCAACAGTTTCTCCCAACCATCTCTCAAGAGCATCCAAATATTTGGTATAAACCAATTTAACAGACGACGCAGCGTCCAAGGCCAACCCAGACTCTTCAGTCACCAGGTCCCACAAGCCATTTTCTGAAACAGCATCATACCCACCCTTCTCCCTGACAAGAAGGAACAGCTTCAACAAGTCCACGGACTGCCCATCTCCGAGCATCGGAGGAAGAGGCCGAGAACTCCCTAGCGCGCATACACCTTTGAGGAATGATCGAATGAGTAGGTAGAAACAGTATGGAAGGTTATTAGCTTCCGGACCTAGACCAGAAGGCGGTTGAAGTGTTACCCAGAACGAGTTGGACTTGAGCTCCGATGAGGTTTTGCCGCAATCTAAAGACGACCCATCAACAACTATCGCCCATCCTGCCATTGATTCCGATTTTAATCCCTAAAAACAAATTATCAATTGCATAATGTTCGGATTCTTTTAAACAAAACGAGATCCGAACACAACAAGAAAACCCAAAAGAATTATCACATTGGAAAACCAAACAAAAACACCCATTACCGAAAGAAACAAAAGAGATAGTGACGATTCCACAAATATTTGAATTACCGATGAATAATCCGGGACCGGTGGAAGAAAAGGGCGGGAATTAGAATGGATCTAGGGTTTTCAAGTGTTGACACAACACAAAAAATCTCTTTATCCCGCGCTTTCTTCAAACTTAATTACAGATATATATAGACACAAGTCAATAGAAGAAAGAAAGGAAGTTGAGGGGGTATAATCCAAGTTTTGTACAGATACAGACCCCCGTCTTCAAAAAGAGATAAAAGAAATAATGAAAAATAGAGAAAGAACTCGGGGAGGACTTGTATTTGACGGAGCAATAAGAAAGACGTACCAGTTTTTGGGTTTTTTCCCAAAGCACCCCCTCAGTGATAACCTCCTTAGACTTTGGCCTCTCTTCTCTTCCTCTTTTCTCTTGAGTCCCTCTTTATTTTACCATTCCTCTTTTCTTTTTTTTCTTTTTTTTTTCTTCTTCTATTACAAACTAAAAATCCAGCCAAATGACTTTGAGATGATGTAAGCCTGCAAGCCTCTCATCTCATATATATATATATGTATCTATACATATTTCTTGATTGACTAACCTGAGTTGGATTAGGGTATTCCTATAAGAGTTAGAATTGGAGTTGGGTTAGATCCATCTTTAAAAAGTTGAATTGAGATTATGATATATGGTTTTATTATTTTTTAAAAAATAAAATAAAATAAAATGTCTTGAACGGTTAAATAAGAAATTTATCTCTTCTAACCTAATTTTTTTTTAATAAGATATTAGGTGTGGTCTTTAATTTTGTTTAAAAGTATGACTAATAACATTTTTGAGAGTCTTTTTTAAAAAATTTTGAAGGAAAAAAATGTAAAAATATTTATCCAGCTGTATTTAAGAATTTTTTAAAAGTAAATTATAGTAAAACAGAGCAATAGATATATGTTTATCAACCATTTATTAATTACATCATTTGTACTTCTATCATTCTCTATGAATTTGTGAGTTTGAATCAAGTTGTGCGTTATGTATGTTCTTATTATAAGGTTATAGTACTATTGTTATGTTATTAATAATATGTGTCGCATAATTATTAATATGGACGAACTGACATTTAAAAAAAATTAAAAAAAAATAGATTTTAATACTTTTCTTATAACATTTTTATTAATCTAATCATTAATTGACTGATTCTTTTAAAGTGTCAAATTGAGAGGATTGAAATATGCAAGAGATGAGTATTAGAATATTGTTTAAACTCTTAAACTCTCATTTATAAAGTCTTTAAAATTAGATATATAAATGTTTATTAATATTTTTTTTGAAAGTTAAATTTCTTAAATACATCACTTTATCTATAAAATAAAAAAATACTCTTGTAATTAAGAATATTTTTGTCTTATTAATAGAAACTTTAATCTACACTATCCATTTATTGACTAGATAGCTAGTATTCTTATTTATTTATAAGAAGTTGTAAGTTCAAGTTACACTGTACGTTGTGTAGCACTTGTTATTGATATATGTGTATTCACATAATTAATAAAATATATAAAATGCACCCAAAAATAGAATATTTAATATGCTTTATTCAACTAAACAAAGAGTTTAGTTTAACTTCTCTTTACTCTTTTTTACAGTAAATAACAATTATATATTAAATATAAACTATCATTTATAGATAATAAAATTTTATAATCACACTTAAATTTAACAGTTTATTAAGGGTTATAGAAATTTTTCAATAATAATTAATGTTAGGAGTATATAAGACCTATTTGATCATTAAAGAAACATAATTTTTTTTTTTTTAGTGGAGGAAATTAAAACTATTCAATTATTGGTAAAGATGTCTTGGTTGGGCCAAATCCAATCTAAAGTAGACTTGGATTGATTGGGTTAAGCCTAGTGACAAAATAGATTTAGAAGAAGTTTTGTTTCTCTTATATTAAATTTGTATTTTAATATATTAGATTTTTCGTTATTACAGTATAGATTATAATTTTAATAAAATATCTAATCAGTTATATAATAATTAAGAATATTAAAAATCACTTTTATTTAAATTAAATTTTAAAACTAAGTATATAATATAATTGAATAACTCAAATGTATAGTATATGCTTCAATCTAATGGAAGATTTGTAAGATAAATGGAGTATGAGTAGAAAAATAGGTGTACCTCAATTGGGCTGTACTCATCACCCTTATCAATAGATATTTCATATATTTGAATAAACACATGAAGCTGGGTTGTATAATAATTTGGGCTTTATCTTAATAGGTTAGTCTACTCGTAATATTTGATAAGATCATAACTTCTACACATAAGTTGTATTTTACACCAGTCTTATAAAAAAGTTATTTTAAAAAAATAACTTTACGATTTTTATTATATTTAAAGATCACGAGTTGAAACTTATTAAGAATGTAGAGTTCATAACTGACTTATAATATTTGATTAAATTAGTTTGAAAACTTACCTTATTAATAAATTTGTGTAGTTATAATAATCAAGTTGAGACAGGTATTTGTAAAATAAATTTTTTATAACACTTAGGCTCCCTAATTGGAGTATGTACAATAAGTTTAAAATATGACATAACCTTATTTTTACCACAAAAAATAAAAAAGAAGACAAAACCTTTTTTTTTGGCTCACTTAAATTCGTGTTGGCATTATTATTTTAATAATATGATTGTTATATTTAAAATATACACATGATATTTAGTTGATCTAATTACAATTTATAATGAATGAATTATTAACAACATGTGATAAATATTTAATAAGTACTTAAAAAAACATATAGATATCAATTTATCTATATGTTCAAAAGAAAATATCACAGTTGAACAAATAACTTGTCACATAACCAGCAAAAATTAGATTAATATATCAAATAAATCTTTATGGATTAAGTTGTCTATTATATTGGTGTATACAACTACACATATCATTTAATTTTGTATCATTACATATTGATCAAATGTTACAAACTATCTATATAATTAAAAAGTAACCCTAGTTAAATCATTGTTCTACAACTAAAATTGATTTCTATTTTCTTTTCTATATTCTCAATACTATTGTCTAAGTTTAAGTATTGAAGTGATCTCCTGAATAAAAGTCAA